GGCCTCCCAGAGAGCTAGGATTACAGGCGTGAGCCACCGCGCCCGGCCGGGTGCTTCCTTTTAAAGCTGTGATCTGTCTCTAGAGCAGCACTAGCACTTCTAAAGTAGGGTCCAAATAATTCATTGAAGCCATGTGCTCAACCTTCAGATGAGTAATGTTATATATTAAAATAATTTATAGGTTTAAAAAGATTTGTTAATCCATAATTTCATCCAGTTTTGCTAGAATGTTTAAATATCCTATTTAGGTTAAATGGTTAAATATCTCTTTAGAACTTAAATTACCGGTTTTCATCTTTTAGTTATGAGTTTTCCTTCCGTTTTTGCAGAGCCATAGTCACAGATCCTATGGCCAGAAGGAACTTTCAAAGACTAATTACAAGGTCTATTATAGTCCAGAGCAAAAAAAATCACCTGCAGAGCTTGTTAAAATGCAATCTTCCAATTCTCCACCTTCCCTCCCCCAAACCTAAGAACTCTTTCTGGCAGAAGGTGATGCTGTTGCTGATTTAGTCTGTGACTACAGTTCGAGTAGCCTCTTATCTTTAGGCAAGGCTTTAATCCCCACCTATGAATTAAGTACTAACATTTAAAGAGGTATGTTTCATATAGAAACTTTGATATCTTCTAGTCAAGTTACACTTTATTTTTTAGAAATATATATCCTATGTTATTTAGTATTGACTGTTACGCATCCAATTGGGTTGAATTACCTATAAAGGACTCTTCTATTTTGTTTATTTTTTGACTTTCATATAGAGATATTTTAGGAGAGGTTAGAATAATTAATTACTAATGTTTTTCTTTTGTTTGTTTTTTTGCCTGCTTCCTTTTCCTTGATAAGGAATGACTAATGTTGTTGGTGACTTTATTTTAGCTTGTTACAGCGTATCAGACACTTCAGAGAGAGAAGAAAAAATTACAAGTAAGTGATTTATTGGCTGTGTTATTGAGTCATACATAATTTTAAAATTAGAAAAGATCTTAATGTAAGATATTTCTAACCCTCCCCTTTAAATAATTCTCCATATGATCAAAATAGTTCACCTGTTTTACCTTTATTAGGGGTTTTGGTAAAGAGTGAATGAGAGATCCTAGAAATTTTACCTCTGTTAGGGATGAGCTTCCTTGAGTTATAGATCTCTGCAATGTTTAAGAGGTTTGAATTTAAGGCATGTTTGCCTCTTTCAAGTATGTTTCCTAGTGTCTCAGTCTGTAGGTTGTTTCCTTGTGTTAGTAGTAAAGAGACATTCAACCTTCTTTGCTTTCCTTCTACTTTTTAAATATTTGCAGACATCTCTGTTTCTTATCATTATATCAGGGTCCAAATCAAAGCATCCTCTCTTCTAAAATAGCTATTTCCTGAGGCTGCTGCTTGTAAAGCTCTTGGTGAAGTATGTAGGGATAAGAAGCCATGTATCTCTTCTCAGTGACCCACCTTGGCCCCACCATGTCATCCTGTTTGTGGCCAGAAATTTCCCACCAGGTATCCTAGGTGATAATTCATACATCAGAGCTAAGGGGAAGTATCTATTCCAGTTCAAATGTTGCCATCAATTTGCTGGGGTTTTTTCCCATAAAATATAGTCTTATTTTTTAAAGTAAAAGTTATTTCAAACCGTTTAGCATTTTGTCCCATTCGAAGAAGCTAATTTATATACATAACCAAAAAGTTATTTTTTAAATGAGCTTGATAAAATTAATTTCCCCATGTATATTATTTTTAAATAATTAATCTGCCATAAATATTAACTCCATTAAGTACAACATAGAGTTTCCTGGCTTTGGTCTGGAATGTAATCAGTTCATCAGTTATTTATTGCTGAATGAGTTTTCTAACTGTTCATAATAAACAAAAAATAAGATGATTACAAATAGAATTTTTAGTTTATTTGATATTTTCTGAAACATGAGATCCATTTAAGTGAGGAGTAGTTCTGATTTAACCCGTTGTCTTATTAATATTCTATAAGTTCATTCTCAAAAGGTTACCTTGTTCTTAAGTTCTGTGAGTACCTTGCTTGTGTTTCTTTCAGTTGTCTGTGGATTTTCATTTCTAGATGTATGTTTGTAATTCTAACACTAAGTGGCAGTAGAGAGTTATGGTTTCATGGTTTCAAATATCAAAGGTGTTAGAGATAAAATTCAATGATTTGTATTCTTTTCTATACATGTATACATGCTCATGTGTGCATGCCTAGGAACCTCTTTATTAAATAGATAAATATCCTTTCGATAGATCCAATGGAATTAGGATTATAAGTACTGCCGTCACTATTACCAATGCTGTTTGTATTAGCTAACATTTATTGAGCTCTTACTAGTGTGCCAGGCATTTTGGTGTATTTAGTCTTTGCCCCTCTCTGGTGAAGAAACTGAGGAAGAGTGACTTGTTCATTGTTGCACAGTACATAAGAAGTAGGGAAGAGAGCCGAGATCTATTTCCTGGCAATTAGACTCCAGAGCATGTGCTACAGTTTTTCATCATCTCAGCATAGCATCTTCTTGTGTTTAAAAATTTATATTTGAAACTGAACGAACAAAACCTGTGTTCATTCCTTTTGGGGGGAAAAAGCCCTGGTTTTAGTTTTATTCACTTACAAAGCCCCACAAATACAACCCATCCATGCTCCTTGGTCATAAGCAGACCCCTTGCCTATCTGTGTCCCTATTTCATGGTTAACGCACACAAATCAGTGAAGCTCCAGATTAACCCATTTATCTACTTCTGTGTATTTATGTTGTATAAGAATATATGGTTATTTTGTTTCCATAGACCATAACTTTCCAAGTTTAACTTCCTTTACTAGTGAAAAGAATCCCCCTATTCCCCCCTCCACCCTCCAAAGGGTGAGTCATTTCATCTTTTTTTTTTTTTTTCTTTTTTTTGAGACAGAGTCTCACTCTTGCCCATGCTAGAGTGCAGTGGCCTCATCATAGCTCACTGCAACCTCAAATTCCTGGGCTCAAGTAATCCTCCTACCTCAGCCTCCCAAGTAGCTGGGACTATAGGCATGCGCCACCACACCTAGCTAATTTTTCTATTTTTTGTAGGGATGAGGTCTTGCTCTTGCTCAGGCTGGTCTCAAATTCCTGCCCTCAAGCAATCCTCCTGCCTTGGCCTCCCAAAGTACTAGGCTTACAGTCATGAGCCACCTCACCCGGCCTCATTTCATCTTTCAATATTATTCTTTTAGCTTGATTTTTTTTATATGTGGTTGCTAATTTAGTCATTTAATGTTCTCTTTGCAAGTTTCTCCTGGGATTTTTTTTTTTTTAAAATATAGACAAGAACTATTTTGTTTTTAAGTCATAGAAGCTTTTAGAACAGGCTGGTAATTGACATATCCCACACATTATAGGCTACGATGAGGTAAGTTCCATTTGGAATTTGATTTAACTTTTACAGTTTTTTATTATTTAAATTAACCTACATTAAAATTGACTTGTTTGGTTTACATGTCTACGCATTTTAACAAATGTGTAGAGTTGTGTAACTACTACTATGGCCAGGATACAGAACAGTTCCATAGCATCATGATTTAACTTTTATTTATTTGTTTGTTTATTTATTTTAAGGAACAGGGTCTCTGTCACCCAGAGACAGTGCAGTGGGTACAGTGGCACAATCATAGCTCACTATAACCCTAAACTCCTGGGCTCAAGCAATCCTCCTTCCTCAGCCTCCTGAGTAGCTGGGACTACTGGTGCGAGCCACAACACCTGTCTAGTTTTTTTGTTTTTTTTGTAGAGATGGGGTCTTGCAGTGTTACCGAGGCTGGTCTTGAACTCCTGGCCTCAGCCTATCTGCCTCAGCATCCCAAAATGCTCATGCTCTCAAAAACATGAGCCACTGTGCCTGGCCTGATTTAACTTTTAACAGATTTTCGACATGGTCACATTGTTAACCTTTTTAGTCTTGTCTTCCATCCTCAGGTTATTTTTGGATAAACAATTGTAATATTTTAAAAATAATTATTTTTTTACTTGCTTGTATTACTATGTCATACTATTATTTAACTAGCTTTTTTTTTTAATTAAAGGGTATATTAAGTCAGAGTCAGGATAAAGCACTTCGGAGAATTGGAGAGTTAAGAGAGGTAAGATTTAATGATTAATGCTTTGAAAATAGTAATCAAAACTCTTATATGTATTAAAACTATCATATGTGCTAGGGTAGTTTCATATGCACTTCATTAGTTATTATAATAACTAACCAGCCCAGCCTATAAGACCAGGGATCAATTCTTACAGTTTTTATTTGTGTGGTCTTCCTAAGATACATGTTGTTGTTGGAATTAATAAAACAAGAATCTTACTTAGAAACATAATATCATTTGTCTGCATGAGCAGTCAGTGGCAACTTTAAAGGCTAAACCATTGTCTTTCTGTTAAGTATTTTAGGCTTCTTTTTGTTTTTCCTAACGAATAATTTTTTTGGTAAAGTAAAGTGGAAATTATGTTCATTGTAATTTGGGGTAGTACTTTTTCATAGGGTTTGGATTATTTGAGCTCCTTTATGTCTTACTCTGGGTCATGTATATCCGTTTACTGTCAGAATAGGCAAGACCACTCCTGGTTTGGCCCAGTGTTTTAAATTAGCTTGCTGCCTTTTACAGTGAGTATCTGTTGACTTTTTGGGGTTCTTTTGTTCTCAGGTCCATCTGATACCTTGTTGCTTCCCTCTGCTTTCTCCTATACAGATCCCAACAACATGCATATTTTACTGCTATTGGTGCTTTCTCTTCACCCCTTTGTATTTTGGTATTTGTAGGGGAATACCTTGTTTCCATTTGTTGTGAATGGTCTTCATGGGTTTTGGTTTGCTACTTTTTGTTACTTTATGACCAAAACCAGGGTTATTTTGAAATGTTTGAAACAGATAGCTTTCGGGTAAAGTAAGTTTAATTTAGGTACTCTGCCAGTGTGTAATTTATGGAATTTATCAGTTTAAGATACATAGTGTATTTTGAAAGTACAAATAGGTTTAAAAGAACTTCAGATAAATTAATAAATCTGTAAATAGTTATTGAGAAAAACTGGTATAATTGTGGGAGGAGACAAAGGAGAAGAGATTCTCTCCCTTGGTTGGTTGATGTCATGAACACCAACCGTATTGTCCCGTAGAATATTCTTTGCTGTTATTGTTAATAACAGATGATTGGCTGAATTAACCATCAAAATTAATCACATAGGAATTTCTTATGTTACTAAAGTTTTATTCTTACTGATATCATGTTTGATTTCTAGTTTCTTGCAACACTTTTTTTATATAGCCAAGTTCCTGATTTTTTGTGATGATACAAAAGAGAGATTATATAATTTACCACAGTTCCCAAATAATACTTTAAACTATTCCAAACATGACTTTGAAAACCAGGGTAATTTATTTTTATGCTGACAAGACCAAGCATTGGCCTCAATGATACAAATAATTACAGTTATCCTTCCTTAATGAAAATTTGTGTTACTTCTTTTGGATTAACACCTTGGAAGAACTTATAACCACTTTTGAAGTGATAGAGAAAAGGTAAAACCTTAGCTCCTAGTCTGCCCAAACTGTACATTTCTGGTTTGTGTAAAGTAAAATATTACCTTCTAGTTCCCTCTGAAAGTGGAGGATGGAGGAATTGTCATAGGGCTGCTAACTGTTACTTTTCTAAGTAAAGATATCGAGAATAAGGATCCAGATTCTTTTATTGTCATTATTTTATGAAAGAGAAATTTTGATACCAAAAAATTAGGAAGGATGTATTCCCAGGATTAATTACAGTTGCTTAAATGAAAGAAATTTAAATGTAAGAAAATCTCTCTACCTTGGCCTTCTATTTCTCACTTCGCCATGGATTGGTGAAAACTTTATTCTAGATATTAACAACATTTGGGGAGTACTGCTGTGGGGTGTCAAGCCAGGAGATATTAGTGAGAGGAACAGTAAAGGATGTGCTAGAGATCTTGGGGCATTGTGGGTATGGGAAAGAATAGAGAACATTTAGTTCCAGATAGTGCCTCAGTATTTTGAGAATTAATAAATTTGAAACAATGTAAGAAGAGAGAGTTGCTTATAGGTTCTTGAAAATATTGTTTGAGGAAAATTATTCTAGCAAATGTGTGAGGGATGGATGAAATCAGAGGAAGACTTGAGGTAAGAAATCTCTCTAGAATACTGTTGAAGGAAATTAACCATCTAAAGTTTTAGAGTCCTGGGCTGTAGTTATAGTTGTGGAAAAAGATAGGACCTAAACATTATGGAGAGAGTAATAAAATAATTTGGTTATATACAGGGATCAACAAAGATAAGTAAAATGGGACTTTGAATATTTCGAGGTTAGGTAATTGGTAAGGTAGGAATCCCAGAACAATAAAAGGGGTTTGATGGGCTGACATGTCTTAGATGTTAATCTCTAGCATTCTAAGGGAATAAGTGTAAGGGACAAACACAGAGGACAGAAGATTAATCAATGAATGACAAAGAGGAAACAATAATTGACGGGAATATAGCCAGGAGCCCTGAAGCCATGGAAAGCAAGTAGTCATGCATTGCTTAGGTGGCAAGGCGAATTTGTCCTTGTGTGAGCGTCATAGGGTGTATTTACACAAGCCTAGATGTATAGCCTACTACACACATAGGCTATACGGTTTAGTCTCTTGTTCCTAGGTTACAAGCCTGTACAGCACTGTACTGTACTAAATGCTATAGGCAGTTGTAACACAATGATAAGTATTGTGTATCTAAATCTATCTAAGCATAGAAAAGGTACAATACAAATATAGTATTATAATCTTAAGGGACCACCATTGTATATGTGGTGCATTGTTGACTGGAATGTCTTTATGCAGTGCATGACTGTACCTCAGTTGGGATAGTAATTATTGGTGGCTGATATTGTAGAGAGATAAAGATCATTGGATTTAGTTAGGAAGGCTCACTAATGACCTAAAGAAAGCAGCATTTTAGATGATTACAGGAACTAGAAATTTTATTGTTTGGTGATCAACTATTTCATCCTCTTCATTTGACAGATGAGGAAAGCTGTCAAACCCTTTCAGGTATTGGGAGGAGCAAGACTCTCCTGGTTATCTGTTTGGTATATAATAATTTAGTTTTAGATCAAGTGAATAACACAAGTAGTAAGATGTCCCAAAATAAAGTTTTACTTTTATCTTAATTTTTTGTTTTCTCCATATTATTATCAGTTCAGCAGTTATTACAGCTCCAGAAAATATACTTTTCTTCTTGGATCTTCATATCCTTTAAGGAACAAAATTATTTGTTGGTGTGAATATTTTAAATAATGTTAATACTTTAAATGGTGATTATTCTCTAATTATTGTTGCTGATACCTCAAGAGAAATGCAAATCTGGGTTGATCATGTTTTTAAACTTGAAAACTTTGTTTTTTGTCATATATTGAAAACTACCTATAAAATCCTTTTATGTTTTAGGAGCTCCAAATGGACCAGCAAGCAAAGAAACATCTCCAAGAAGAGTTTGATGCATCTTTAGAGGAGAAAGATCAGTATATCAGTGTTCTCCAAACTCAGGTAAAAGAGTAAAAGAAAAAGTGTGAAATTTTTGGATAAAGAAAAATAAAGGGATTTTGATGGGATATCTAAGATGTTCCAGACTGGTGGGGGAAAAGGCGTGTTTTTAAAACTCTTTGCCTTTCTTGAATTAATTTTAAGGATAATTTTTGATTTATTATGTCTTTTGACTATGCATATTATTGTTAATAACAAATATAAAAATCGACTACATTGGGAGTAAACTTTTTTTTTTGATTTTTTTTTCCCTCACTATAGTAAAAAGAATGTCATTTAATCTATCCCCTCTCTGTTTCAAAGAAAGTACACTATATACATCCATATTCAACCAACTGCAGATCAGAAATATTTATTTGGGGAAAAAAGCACATCTGTACTGAATATGGAACTTTTTTCCCTGTCTTAAAAAATATAGTATAATTACTATTTACTTAGTATTTTCATTGTATTAGGTATTATATGTAATCTAGAGATGATTAAAAGTACATGGGGGATTTGTAGATTATATGCAAATACTATGCCATATTATATAAGTGACTTGAACATCTATGGATTTGGTATCTGTAAGAAATCCTGCAACTAATCCTTCTCAGACACTGAGGGACAACTATACTACTGCCATAGTTTCTTTTGATTTTTTTACTAATGAAGCACATTTTTTTTTAGGTTTCTCTGCTGAAGCAACGATTACGAAATGGCCCTATGAATGTTGATATACCAAAACCACTTTCTCAGATGGAACCACAGGCTGAAAGCTTTACTAAAGAAGAGAATACGGAGAGTGATGTAGAGCCAGTAGGTAAGCTTCATTTTGTCACAGGTTAATTTAAAAACTAGAGTGTGGTGGCTCACACCTGTAATCCTAGCACTTTGGGAGGTTGAGGTAGGGGGATTGCTTTAGGCCAGGAATTTGAGACCAGCCTGGACAACATAGCGAGACCCCATCTCAACAAAAAATAAAAAAATTAGCTGGACATGGTGGCATGTGCCTATAGTCCCAGCCGCTCGGGAGGCTGAAGTGGGAGGATCACTGAAGCCTGGGAGGTTGAGGTTGCAGTGAGTTTGATTAGTGCCACTGCATTCCAGCCTGGACAACAGAAGGAGACCCTACCCCCCCATCTCTAAATAAACAAATAAACAAACTAGAGGAGGATTTTGAGAGATTGAGGGAGTGAGCTGATAGACCTGGGCTGGGAGAGAAGTATCTTTGATTCTAACATTTCCAGAAAGATGCAAGGGTTTTTGTTGTTTTTTGGTTGTTTCTTGTCATTTAGGAGAAAGTAATTATTTTAAAAGTTTCATAATCTACGAGGAGTACCACTTTTTTTTGTAACTGAAATTCATTGTTTTATTGATAGCAGTAGCTAGATTTCATATAAACAAATGAGTTTTGCTCAGTGTTAATAAATATGCTATTTGTAGCTGTTTGGATATTTTGGGTTTTAAATAATGCTTACATATTTCTGTATTCAGAGATACCTGTATTTACCCTATTCATTGCTTTTTAACTGAAAAAAGAAGACATAGTTAAATTTTGTCTTAAAATTCAATTGCATTCCTCCCTATGCTTTGAGGTACATATTCATTAAAATTCCTGTTTTTTATTTCCTGGTTTTTTTCTCTCAAAGAGACTTTATAAACTTGGAGTAAGTTGCTGAGCAGTTAGCTATCTGAGCAACCAACCTATAAGGGGGGGGGGGTCCCAAAATTCCCCTGGGATGTGAAAATTTTACTTATAAATGTAAGGAAATGGAGAAAGCTGTCCTTATCAGAACTCCTCTCAGGAAAAGATTAGAATTTGGTTGGAAAGAATACTATACTCTATTAATCCTTTTGGGATGGGTACTAAGACAGGAGGTAATTTTAAATAATAACAAAAGATGGTTATCAAACTGTCTTTTAAGGAGGGTAGATTCAGTTAATGTTAGCTACTGCACCATGCCATTTGGGATGGGGTTCAATCACAAAATAGGTGAAAGCACTACTGAGTTTCTTCAGAAAAAGATCAAATAGTAACTAAGTAAATGTTTGGAAGGGTGCCAAATTATGAGCTGACCAGGGTTGTCTCTAAGAAACAATCTGGCTGCGTCTGGCTTAGGGTATAGCGGAGTGTTGGTATAAGAATACACTCCTGTGTACTAACAATCTACCTGTTCCTTATATTCCTTACTGCCTGTCCCTGCTTGTGCTGCTTTGTTGTTAGTGGGAGATGGAGCTTCTGCTAAAACACTGGAAACACTCCAGCGAAGAGTTAAGCGTCAAGAGAATCTTCTTCAGCGTTGTAAGGAAACAATTCAGTCGCATAAGGAACAATGTACACTATTAACCAGTGAAAAAGAAGCTCTGCAAGAACAACTAGATGAAAGACTTCAAGAACTAGAAAAGATGAAGGTACAAAAGCAATGAGTTTTGCTCTAATTTAATCCTGTGAAGCTAGATCTGCAGGCTCCAGCGTGACTGTACCCCCTCTGGAAAGCCCTCGTCTATTGTCTTTAGAATGGGTGGGGAGGGTGTCCTTGTCTGGGCACTTAAGTGCCCTGGGCTTCATAGTACTTGCTATGCTTTTGTGACTTCTTATGTACTTTGCCCCCACTAGATTATAAGAAGTATCTAAATTAAACAGTATGTTTAGATTTCTCATATGTAGAGAAGCTTTAGTAGAGATGGAAATGAGTTTTTGAAATTTTTTTAGGACCTCCATATGGCTGAGAAGACTAAACTCATCACTCAGTTGCGTGATGCAAAGAACTTAATTGAGCAGCTTGAGCAAGATAAGGTAAAACAACAAAACTTATGTTACTAACATTTGTCAGGGGACCTAGAACTTCACTTTTGACAGTAGTTGGAAGCAGTTATACTTCTGCTTTCCAAAATTATTCCAGCTGCTCCCATGAAAAATCTTCTTAATTTCTAGATTTATATCTCTATTAGCATTAGTTTTATAATCATGTGATGCTGCAGATTCTCTGTGATATCTTGATCCCAGTCAGCATTTTAATTTATAGTTTAGAATAACTGTTACAAAGGAAATCTCTGTTTATAGGACGTAACTACTTCTCAGAGAAAAGTTAAATTATTTATAGTTAAGGCATTCTAAATGTGAATGATATCAGTATGTTCTTTCAGATATTATGAAAAGACATTAATCTCTTAGATAAGTTGCCTAAAAAGTAAAGAAGTGATTATATATATGTATATATTAGCATAAACAAAACTTTCAACAAATGAATTTTAGAATGTATAGGTGAGATTGGAGGACAGAGGAAGGGATGTCTTACCCTTGGCAGTTTGGAGTTGGAACAGCAGCTATAGCTATGCAACAAAGACAACTGAAAAATTCATGGATAAACAATTTTAACTTAAGACTTTCAACCCCAGGTTCTTGGGTTGCTTTTCTAAGTAGCTTCCAGTTTGTTCTATACTATTTTCTTTAAATATGCTGGCTTATAGGTACAACGTTTTAAATGACCATGTAATTAAGAACGTGTCAGACTGTACTGCTATTGAAATGTATTGGCAATTTTTCATTCTTCCTATAATGTGGTTTTGCTAACTTCTACTTTATAAACTTCATGAGAGCTAAGACTTTAAAAAAAATTACTATGAAAAACTTAAAATATTTACAAAAGAAGGAATATTAGTAAAATTAATTTCTATGAACTCGTCACCCAGCTTCAACAGTTAACATCTCATGGCTAATCTTGTTTCATTTGTGCATTCCCAACCCCCATTGTCCTCCTCAACCCAGGATTGTTTTAGAGAAAATCCAAGAAATCTTACCATTTCTTACATAAGTATTTTAATATATCTTTTAAGTAAAATACTTTATTTTTACAGAAATATAACCACATTATCACATCTAAAAATTTAATAATTCCTGAATGTGATTTGCTATCTTAGAGTTTCAGATTTTCCCTATTATCTCATACATTTTTTTCTTCTTTTATGAATCAGGATCCAAATAAAGTTCTTTCATCTCAATTGGTTGATATGATTCTTAAGACTTCTTTTAATCAATAGATTCGATTGCTTTCTTTTTTTTTTTTTTTGAGACAGAGTTTCACTCTGTTGCCTGGGCTGGAGTGCCGTGGCGTCATCCCAGCTCACAGCAACCTCAAACTCCTGGGCTCAAGCAATCCTCCTGCCTCAGCCTCCCAAGTAGCTGGGACTACAGGCCTGCGCCACCATGCCCGGCTAATTTTTTCTATATATTTTTAGTTGTCCAATCAGTTTCCCTCTAATTTTAGTAGAGACGGGGTCTCGCTCTTGCTCAGGCTGGTTTCGAACTCCCGAGCTCAAACAATCCGCCCGCCTCGGCCTCCCAGAGAGCTAGGTTTACAGGAGTGAGCCACCGCGCCCGGCCTCGATTGCTTTCTTTTTCTCTTTTTGTTCTGTTGCGATTTGGTTTTTGAAGAAACTGAAAGTCCGTGATTTTGTTTTGAAATTTCATATAACAATGCTCCACTTACCTGGTTGTTATTGTCTGTTAATATTAGCCATGTGGAAAAGTCATACTGCAAAGCAGGGGTCAGCAAACCCTGCAAGTAAGGCATTAATTTTCTTAAGACCATAAAATAGCTGTCACAAAGTCTGAACTGTTTTTCCAGAAACAAATTAAACCACCCCATTTTTTGTTAGTCCCAAATGACTGATTTAAGCAACTAGAGAAGCAACTAGAAAATTGGAGGAATGGGGTTGCTTTACTGACAGTAGTAAGGAGTAGTGATGGGACCAGAGACAGTCACAGGAGGAACCAGGTAGATCTGTACTGAAGTTTTGCTCCATCCATTGTGGCAGCAGGCACCTTACATTCTCAGTCTTTGGGATTATCCCTGTGTTATAGCACAGATTAATAACTGTAGTTCATTATGGTCCTGAGGTCAAGTTCAGAAGGCAATATTTTATTTATTGTAAATTGTTTACTAAGACAGGGAAAATGATACCACATTTATAGACAGGTTATAAACCTTTTAACTAAAAACTTTAATGCTTAAAGGATTAAACTTGCTATTTAAATAATGTTTTATATCAAAGACACCCTGATTATCATGCCAGTTAACAGAGGCATAGAACAGAACATAGACTTCAGTTTGTGAAATACTGAAGTTAAGCATACCTAATCTAAAGTCCAAATGCTCCAAAATCCAAAACTTTTTGAGCACTGACATGATGTCACAAGTGGAAAATTCCCAACTTGACCTCATGTGATAAGTTGCAGTGAAAACATAATCAAAACTTTGTTTCATGCACAAAATTATTAAAAATATTGTATAAAATTACCTTCAGGCTATGTATATAAGGTGCTTATGAAGCATAAATGAATTTTATGTTTAGCCTTGGGTCCCATCCGCAAGATACCTCATTGTGCATATGTGGATATTGAAAAAATCTGAAATCTGAAAACACTCTGGTCCCAAGCATTTTGAATAAGGGATACTCAACCTGTACTGAAATAATTCTTATGCTGTACTTATTAGTAGTAAGAAATGTTATTTTTTCTGCCTTTTAAGTTACATTTGATCTGTGCTATTGATCATGCAGTTTTGTTCTGCAAAGGCTTTAGAATTTGCACTTTTGTTCAGGGAATGGTAATAGCAGAGACAAAACGTCAGATGCACGAAACCTTGGAAATGAAAGAAGAAGAAATCGCTCAACTTCGTAGTCGCATCAAACAGATGACTACCCAGGGAGAGGAATTACGGGAACAGAAAGAAAAGTCTGAAAGAGCTGGTAAGAACTCAGAGGTTACTTGTTTTATATTGGAATTTAAAATTCATTTAAAGTGCTTTGCCGACATTTTAAGAAATTAGTTAAGTATTAATAAAAATGCGTAACTGTAGAGGCTCTTTATAGACACCAAACTGCTCATTAGAGGAGACAGGGGCTGGCAAACTATGGCCTGTGGGCCAGATCCATCCCATGGCCTGTTTATGTATGGCCCTCAAGCTAAGAATGATTTTTAAAAATTTTAAATAATCGAAAAAAGAAGAATATGTGACAGAGACCATACGAGGCCTGCAAAACCTAAAATATTTACCATCTGGCCCTTTAAAGAAAAGGTTCGTTGACCACTGGCTTGGAGTATCAAAATTCAGGTTTAAAATTTTAGAAGGCACAACATGGTACTTATTAAATAACTGCTACTTACAGATGCTCTAGGGTAAATAAAAAGTATAAGGTATAGTCTGCTTTTAAAGGGAATAATGAGCAATTCAGTATTTTACATAATAACATTATGTTTTGACATAATAACTGCTAGGCTGTAAAGTATAGAGACCAGCATAGTATTTGAAGTACAATACTGAGTCATGCTAGGAGAGGAGAGATGTTAGAAAGAAGAGAGAGCAGTATAAACTGTGCCTTCATGACAGTGAAGATGTGAGTTTTGAGTTGGGCCTCAATGACTAGAATGGGCCTAAACGGAAAGGTGTGGGCAACGTACATTTCAGTTGCTACAAAACCATGAACAAGCACAGTGACCACAGTGGGTGTGTGAATCAACTGAAAACCATTCTTGCCAAAGTGCAAAAATGAAGTTGGATTGTGAAGGAACTGACTATTGAAATAGTGAAAGGTGAGTAGCTGAGTTTAGACTTTGGTATACAAGGCAGCAGGAAACCAATAATAGGAAAGCATAATGTGATGGAAGCTAGTGTTTTACGTAGAAAAGAAATGAAGTGGGAAGTCAAATTTAAAAGCAAAGACAGAAATGCAGATGTGAGGGACTGTGAGCTTTGGCTACCTTGACTAGGATGGTGGTCTGGGAAGGAGAGGAAAGGTAGAATCTGTAGACTTTGGTGTCTGATCAACTTGGAGGGGTGGAAGAAAAGTAGAAATCTAAGATGACTCCAAAGTTTTGAGGTAAGGAGACTGAATGAATAGTAGTGTGGAGTTAGAATAGGAAATCTAAATGGGGAAGTTGAGGATTGGAGTGAGATGATAAGTTTGTTTAGTTACTTTGAATTTGAGCCAATGTTAAGCTTTTCAAATGGAATTGATTTATAGGAATTTGGAAATAAGAAACTGGACCATCTTTCAGGAGTCATTAGCCTAGGGTTGAAGCTTGTGGTTAAATCTGTAAGAGAGACTGATTTCTCCAAAAGACTAAATTTTACAGTAGTTGTAATAGTAATGGCAGTAGTAGCAGCAGCTGTTACTACTGGACACTTATTTATCACTTGCTGCTGCTGTTGCTACTACTACTGCTGCTACTGTTAATACTACTGCTAGCTAACACTTGGTTATTTTAGCAAGGCTCTTATGTAAGTGCTTTATTTGTATTTTATCCTTACAATTCTGTGGAATAGTACTGTTATTATCCTCATTTTACAAATAAGAGAATCTAAGAATATAGAAGTATTACCTAAGAATATACTTTCTGTGCCTGTGTTTATGCACAGAGAGTAAGTATATGGTCAAGATTTTAATCCAGGCATTGTGACTCCAAAGTCTGTGCTCTTAACCATAGAGTTCTTGAGTTTGGCAATGAGAAATAAATGAGAAAAAAGAAGTTACCTCAAGAAGTCGATAGGAATTTTGGATGGTTATCCTCTTGGGGGGGAATATAAGAGATGTTTCAAGAAGCAGAGATGCAGGATGAAGACTTTGAAAAGGATTGTTAAGCATTTGATTCCCACATGCAGTTTTGAGAAATGATTTTGGAAACCAGACTGTAAGGTGTTAAGGAGGGGAATGGATCTGGACGACAGTGAAACAGTTGGTCAACAACACATGTGCTCATAAATATCTCCTCATCTCCTTGTAGTTCTTTTATGGATAAAGTGGTTGAGGAATTTAGTTAATGAATTTGTTCCCATTAAACCTAAGAAAATTTTCCTTCAGAGAGAGTTAATAGAAAATCATCTTTCAGAATATAATCTCTGATGACCTACTTGAAGCATTTTGAGAATTGTGAGACACTGTAAACAGGATTGCTTTCAGTGAACGGAAAACCTAATTCATAGTCTCAGCTTCTCATGTCAGGCCCCTTCATTTTTAGGATTGCTTTTTGTTGACTATTGTAGCCAGTAAAGAGAAAAGATTGGTCAGGGGATTACATTTCCTTTTAAAATTGGAACTTTTTGAGGAGGTAGAAACTGACGAATAAATATCAAGTTATAAGGGTCAATGATGAAAAGGTAGACAAAATATACAGTTAATTCACATGCAGGATAAAATTTTTCCAGATAACTGTTCCAGTTAAATCTTTAGTAGTACAGCTTTCCTTCCCTTGCTTCTCCAAAACACAGTTATATTTTGTCTTTAAATGTGATTTTTATAAAACTATATTGTTGTAAATATTTGATAGCCTAATAGTCGAGAAACTTTTCTGTTATAGTACTATCAAAATATTAAAAATTTATAATACTAAAAGAATTGAGATTTAAATTTTTCAATAGACACATTCACTTTGGAAAGGTTTTAGATATTACAAGTGCTTTTATAGATACTTTTAAAAATTACATTTGTATTCATAATTATTGAAGGGTATGATAGAAAATTGTAACAAATGAGTTCCACATTGAAGATGTTGCCTTTTAAATCTATGATGAAAACTAGTTTTGTACACTAACTGCATTTCATTTGATGGTCTTAGTTGAGTCTGAACAGAACTGTTCAAATAGAAAATGGTTGTTAGTTCAAATATAAAGTGCATATGCCACTTGGAAAATTCTAGTTAGGTACTAAAACGTAAGAGAAGGTCGATGCAAAGGAAGCAGGGTTTCCATAAATAGCCTGTGAACATCATCTGGCTGCTGGAGAATTCTACTGCTCTGTTAAATATTTTTCTTCCTCTTTCTCAGATTTAAAATTCAAAGGCTAAACACAGAAGAGCTGGCCTTGTAAAGGAAACATTAACATCATTATAGCCTGCTGTTAGGATTTTAGAAATAGATATGTCTACAAAAAACTATTATCAAAGAAAATATACTCTAAAGTGTTTTCAACTGTAAAAAATTTAACTCTGATATTGTTAGTAATTCTTGACATGTGGATATCAGTGGAGAAATAACTAATTCCTTTGGCTTACTTATTCTGGATGTCAAAATCAGCTCAAGAACATTCCTCACTACTTTTCCTGGTAAACAATCTGTTGCACTGCTCCTCATTTTTTCTAGACAGTGATGCCTCCATGTGTTGGAGGACAGTGGAAATCTGAATGTCTATGATTTTAAAAAGAATAATTCTATCACAAAATACTGAGACAGTGAATGTGGTGATGTACCAACTTCAAGAGGGCATATCCACCTGTAGTACTTAAATAGTCTCCTCTCTAGTGGAAATGTTAGGTCTGTTTTTTAAAGTATGATAGTATAGCATTCTTGTTTTGTTAAAATTATTTCTTTTGGTGAATAAAGAAAACCAACAATGAGTATATTTATTGCAAGCACTTATCTACAACTGTTGATAGTATTCTTCTCTAGGTGTTACCTAAGAACAGATGGTCATATCTTTCAGTAACTAGATTTTAAACTTGGAAAAGTCTGGTGGTTCAGCTTAAGTGCATAATGCTGTATTTTAAGTCTTAGGTAATATTTCTAATTGTCTAGAAAATTATATCGTCAGTGCAGCACCAAGGTAGAATGTTCATGTTACTAAAGTTCACAGTAGTTCTTGGCTATTCTGTGTGTATGTGTGTGTTGTGTTTGTGTGTTAACCAGGGTAGGAGGTAGGAGTATCTGGCTAATTATTAATGAAATATATTACCAAAAAATTGGAAAGTAGAGAAAATCAAGAAAATCACATTACTGTTGTTTCAGTACACTTCCATTTAGCCTTTTCTCTAATCCTTATTTTTATATTATTGTAATAATATTGTACATACAATTTGTATATTCTTCCCCCCCGTTTCGCACTATATTGATACTTTGACATGTTGCTAAAGTACTAACTTGTTTTAATGGCTGTGTCAAAGTGCATGTACATCTTTTACTTGGTAACCATATCTTTATTGATCAACACTTACATTATTTTGTATTTTTGCTATTAAGAATAATATAGCAGTTTTGTGATCTAGCTTATTCCGTATCTTTGAATTTTTCTCAGAATGCATTCTTACCCATAAACTTTTAGTCTTTTTTGTTAGTTACGTTTAAGTGGTTTAAATATGTATTAGCCATTACAAAAAAGAACCCACTCCACAATGTTAATCCGCCCTCCCATTAAAACGCTCTTGCCTACGATTATGCAAAATGAATAAAATATTTTCTTGGATTAGGAAAGTTTCCAGAGTACACTAACTTTTGTAAACCCCTTTTCCCTTTCACGTACCCTGTCTTTGCTGAAATTGTGTGTTTTATATGATTGGCTGCTTTTAAAAACTTGGATTAACTAATAACATTCTTTGCTTTTTTATTGTCATGTTGTGTTTATGCAGGAAATAAGTTTTTTATTAATTTGTATAGTATACGTCTGATATGACAAAGACATTCAGTAGGACTTATTTGATATTTGAAGGACCCTTAAAATAGAGTTTATATATTTAAATAATATGTAAGATTTATGCATTTTTATATAACAAACCAAAATCACATGTGTACTTAAGTGCTTTGTTAGTTGCTGATAATTTATGTAATAAAATTTTCTTGGAGTCTTAAGTCTCACAAAACATCTTATTTTTGTGCATCCACACATGCCAATAAGTGAATCATGGTGCCTTTCCCAAGCCTTGTATGAACAGGACTGGGGTAAGGGCTATTTTTTTTCTTATCACGGGTACTCAGAATAAG